TAGGAAAGCAGGAATCATTATCTTACTTTTAAAAATGAAGAACCAAGGCTCTGAGAGTTTAAATGACTTGTCCAAGTTTATACAAGTAACACATTAGTTCTTGCGTCTGGACTAAATCCAAGTCTACTAACTCTAGGACAAATCTAAGTGATGCCACCTCTTGATATTCTAAAACTAGTTTTATTTCTTTTTGTTTTTATTTCAAATTTTTTATTGTATTTACATCTTGAATTTTTATTGCCTTTTAGTCTGATTTGCACACCAATCTTTTCCTTATTAATATGTTGGCCTTATATTGATTACTGATAGAAAAATAGTGATGAACTCAAATCCCTTGATTGCCTGGCAGCAAAGAACAATCTTAAGAAAATAACTTCTAGATATTATTTGTTTATGTGGTTTCCTGAATCTCAGGCCTTACCTGTATAATAGTGGTCCTCTGGTCTTTGTATACCGCAATAAGAGAGCATGACAGAAAGATGAACCGAAGGAGAGAGATTTTGTGAAAGTGATACCTGAAGGGCAAGCTGAGGTTTTTCCCCAGGATCGTGTCTCACAAAGCTAAAGAATGAAATCAAAGACCAGAAGATTTAAGCAAAAGCATGGAAAATGTATTGCAAGCATATTCAGACTCTCTGCACAGTAAGGGGGACTAATAATGGGTTGCCACTGAAGCCTTTTAGTCTAGGACAGTGGTCGGCAAACTGCGGCTCAGCAAACCGAGGCTCGTGAGCCACATGCGGCTCTTTGGCCCCTTGAGCATAGCTCTTCCACAAAATACTGGCTCTTCAACAAAATACTGACTTCTGTGCATGGGCCACAGAGTTTCAACCGCACTGTACGGGGTGCGCCTGCACGTGGTATTTTGTGGAAGAACCTCACTCAAGGGGCCAAAGAGCCGCATGTGGCTCACGAGCCACGGTTTGCCGACCACGGGTCTAGGGGCTTATATATATTACAAGCCTACTCTATATCTAACCGTGTGGCCACCTGATTGATTCCCTCAATTGTTCTTGCCCAGCAACGAACCTGGACTTCCCCTATTCCTATGCCTCAGTTCACCTTATTGTTGCAGCCCTTCCCTGGTTTCACATACCTCCAACTCTGAGTCTAAAAACATTGTTATTTCTGCAAGGTTGGTTTCTATGGTTAGGCTTGCTCATTGCTGTGTCTGCCCCTGACAACGTTCCATCTGCCTTTGTTTTCTACTGGCCCCTGCCCTATCTGCCTGCATGTCAAGCTAACTCCTCTCAAAAGTCAAAGTTATTTATTTGATGGGCCTTAGTTATCTATACTAATAAAAGGGTAATACACTAATTAGACCGGGAGACCAAACATCTTCTGGACATCTGACTTCCTTCCGGACAAAGCCACGGTGGTGGGGGCCGAGGCAGAGGCAGTTAGGGGCGATCAGGCTGGCAGGGGAGTGCAGTTGGGGGCGATCAGGCTGGCAGGGGAGTGCAATTGGGGGCCATCAGGCCAGCAGGACAGGGTAGTTGGGGGCCATCAGGCTGGCAGGGGAGCGGTTAGGCAGTGATCAGGCTGGCAGGCAGGCAAGCAGTTAGGAGCCAGCGGGCCAGATTGTGAGAGGGATGTCTGACTGCCAGTTTAGAACCCTGTGGGATGGGGCGTAAACTGTCAATCAGACATCCCCTGAGGGGTCCCGGATTGGAGAGGGTGCAGGCTGGGCTGAGGGACACCCCCCCACCATGCACAAATTTTGTGCACTGGACCTCTAGTAGAATTATAATTTTAGGTAAAAAGGTCAATAGTTAAGTAATAAAGGGCTTCAAAGAAATAAATTACTGTGTTTAAAATGTCTTTCTAAACAAGATAAGGAAAATAAAGTAGGAGATTATTTAATTCTGGTGGCTACAAAAATAATATAAATAATGAGAGAGATGAAGCAAACATCTTTTAACATTGTTATTCACTCTAATTACAAGATTCCCTTCCTATGTTTACTAATAGTTGTGGTGAAAACCAAGATGCATATGAGATAATGGAAAATACAGGGTATCCAAAAAAAACTATATACACACTTTGAATAATTATTCATTCCAATGGGTTAAATCTGAAAAGCAAGAAACATCTCTTGTGCTATCAGCTCATAAGTAAATTTTGGGGGGACATCCTGTATATATTGATCTCTGTTCCTCATTCCTGGCACACAGTTCCTAAAACCCTTGTAATTTCTTAAGTGAAAACAGCATTAGGAGCAACTTTTGTTTTAAAATTTGACCTCAGTTCCTGACACAAAAGTTCTTAAATAACTTGGAATTTCCTGGGTTTGGTAATGTCTTTTGTTCTAATGAGGTGACTAATGGTGAGCTTCTAAATGGGGGATGGTCATCAGGGAGACCAAGTCACAATTAGAAACTAGATATTCGAGGATTTATTCCAGGAAAAAGAGAGAACTGCAACCCAGAACATGCAGCCATGGCAAACTCACCACCACAGATGAAGAGGAAGTTCTTATATGGATGGTAAAAAGAAGGCTGTTGTGATAACTGGAGTTCTTGCTTAGCTTCTTGACTAACATAGGAATGAGAGTTCCCCCTACAGGCCCTCCAGATTCCAATCTGGTTGAGGTCAACTATTAATTTTTTTTAATATAACTTTCAGCCCTGTGCTCTATTCTCCAGAAAGGGAAAAGGGACTGGAATTGACTTAATTATTGATCGTGCCTATGTGATGAAGCCTCCCTAAAAATCCAAAGGTATAGCTCTGGCTGGTGTTGCTCAATGGTTAGATTGTTTATCTGAGCATCAAAGGGTTGCAGGTTTGATCCCTGGCCCCAGCGAGGACATGTGGAGGAGGCACATCAATGTTTCTCTCTCTCCTCTCTCTTCTCTCTCTCTCTCTCTCTCTCCCTCCATCCCTTCCTCCCTCCCTCCTCTGCCCTTCCTTCCACTCTCTCTCTAAAAATCAATATCATGTTGTTATTGTTGTTGTTATTGTTAACCCTCACCCAAAGATATTTTGACTTTTTTACTCAAGACTTCTGTGTTTTACTGCTGAGGTAGGAGTACAGCAAAATAAATTGGGGAGTCCTTGAATAACAGCACCAGAGGAGACAGGAGACAGCAGTTTATATCGTAAGAGTCTACCTTACCTAAGGAAAAGGAGGTCTTTCATACTCCAACCTGGCTCATTAGAATTCTACACTGAGACTGGGAGCCAAGGCCCAGGTAGTTATCTGAGCATTATTTAACATTGTTTTGTTCTCTAGGACTATATTTCTTTCAAGAAATCCAGGGAGTAATGTTAACGAAGGTAGATTATGGTCTTTGCAACTCATATTCCAATCATATATTTATCTAGAGATGTAACTACCCTATTTTGATATGACATATATGTAAAAACAACATTAAAATACAATTAAAATGACATATAAGGTATTTAATGACACATAAAGGGAAAATGATACATATAGTACAGAACTCAATCATTAAGATTGTTTGCAGGAAAATTAATAACATGAGAAAAATACTTGTAATGTTAAATGAAAAATGTAGATACAATATTGTATAATTGGTAATTGATTGAAATGTTATTTTGATTGAATAAAGTGCAATTTTTACTTTCTTGAAGGTGGATAAAGAAACTAGAAAGGAATACGTAAGATACTGGCAGTGGTTTCCTTGAAGTATTGGAATTATGGGTGATGGAGTTTGGTGAAGATTTTTTAAATGCATTTCTGTACTCTTTAAATGTGCATGTGCTTTATTTATGATAACATAAATACTTCTTAAATGTCTGCAACTCTTGAAAAGTAATGTTTCAAGATAAGTATGCTGCTAAATATTTTAAGAATTTACCTCATTCTAATATAAGGGATGAATCTGAAAGGACACCATCTATAAAAGAAATGAGATATGTTCTGTGTCAGTGTAGGTAGGACAGCAGGTAATAGACACAGAAGAATAGATTTCAACTCAGTATAAGCAAGAGTTTTTTGATACTTAGAGCTGTCCTGGAATGGAATACAATAGGTTCTCTCAAGATGCTGCACACTGGAAGTGGTCAAGCAGAGCCAGAGGGCTTTTTGCCTTAGGAGATGGTGAAGGGAGAAAGATGAGGAGACAGTGTCAGTGATGGCAAACCTATGACACGCGTGTCAGAGGTGACACGTGAACTCATTTTTTTGGTTGATTTTTCTTTGTTAAATGGCATTTAGATATATAAAATAAATATCAAAAATATAAATCTTTGTTTTACTATGGTTACAAATATAAAAAAATTTCTATATGTGACATGGCACCAGAGTTAAGTTAGGGTTTTTCAAAATGCTGACACACTGAGCTCAAATGTTTCGCCATCACTGGACTAGATGATCTCTAGTGCCCTTTCTACTGCTAACATTTTATCAATTTGTCATTCATTCACTTATTCATATGACCTCCAAGATGGTCCCCAATCATCCTTGCCTACTGATGGCCATGCCTTGTTTAATACCTCCCACATTGAAGGAGCTGATTCATGGAACCAATAGGATATTGTAGAAAGGAGGGAGTATGACTTCAGAGCCTAGGCCATGAAAGATATGGTGGCTTCCGCCTTCTTTTTCCTGAGTTGCTCACTGTGGAATAAGTCAGCTGCCACGTCATGAGGACACTAAAGCAGCGGGCAGAGAGGCCTATGTGGAGAGGAAATGAGGACTCCTTGCCAACAACCATCAAAAACTTGCCAGCTATTAGAGTGATTCCCCTTGGAAGCAGATCATCCAGCCTCACCAAAGCCTTTAGATGACTGCATCCCAGGCCTTCAACTTCACTGCAACTTCACGACAAACCTAAGCCAGAACAACTCAGTTAAGCCATGCCTGAATTCTTTACCCACAAGGACACTAAGTTTGGCAGTGATTTGTTATGTAGCATTAGATATCAATACAACACATTTTTACCTGATTTGTTTCACAACAAATTTGACATAATACTCTTTGATTCAGTCACTCTATTGCTAATAAGAGTTTCTTAAGGAGGCAAAATCCCGAGCTGCACAATAGCAGCCTATTCATTTAATAGTATGGTTTAGCTCAACACAGTTGGGAGTCTTAACACATTCCAATAAGAACAATGACAACTTGGCTTTAGAATGATTCATCTTATTTCTTTTCCAATAGAAGAAAAAGAAATGTGTTCTTTGTTTCTTATGGATTTGGTGTCTGTAGTTATAGCTATAATTGTGTCATTTATATTTCTCAGCTTCCACCCATCAATATGCTCAGAAGAAAGATATGCTAGAAATTGCAAGAAAGCATTTTAAAAGGCTTTTTTCCAGCATTATAATACCTAGCATGGAGATTTGTTTTATCTGTTTAAACAAACCAAAGGCAAAGACAAAAATTCTATGAATTGTTCTCATAAATAGATGACTAAATCACCTCTAAAGTTTTTTTTAATCCCATGTTTTAACATCTGAAAGTTATAAGATATTCTGGGTAAGCTTGATTATCAAAGAATACCACAAATAACTTTGGATGTTGTATATCATCTGTGACAGAATCAAACAGATCTATGGAATTGTAAGGGTTCTTTGGTGGAGGCGTAACTATTCCTTCACGTCCAAGCGTGTAGACTCCTGTAAGTACTCGTACAACATAAATATGTTTCCTCCCATTGCTGTCTGGTCTGGAGTATTTATCATCAGCAGAATAACTGGCATCAACAGCAAAATAAGTTCCTTTTCCATAGGCTACAGCTGCAGAGAGAAAGACAAAACCCTTCATAAGAACGTAAAATTATCACAGTGTACAGAACCATACCCAAACCTGAAAATTAAATAAAATTTTAATGCAGTTCTTGGTCACCACAGCCACTTTTCATCACTTCTAAAATTCCCTTCATCTGTCCTGGAAAGGTTGCCAGTCTCCTTTTGGGTGAAACAGAATGAGCTCTATGCTGACAATGACAGTATGGCTGCCATCTATGGCTACCCTGCTTGGGTATGAATAGTCAACATTAGAACATCCATTCACCTCATTCTGATCAGTAAGATTACTTGCTTCCTTACCATTCTTCCCAGCATAACTGCGATTAAAGCCGTGCTGATTGACGTGTGGCACAGAGTGTGCATCTGTCCCATGGAAGAGGATTTTCTCATTCTCTATGTGGCCATTTTTGATGTCCATGTGTTTTTTCTTTACCTGGTAGCTCTGCCAGAGAAATTCATTCTGTATCTTCTCAATCTACAAATGACAAAGAGCAAAACATTTGAATAGGACCATAAAGCTCAATGTAGTGTTTGCTGTAGCCTTTAAGCAATATAGAGAAGGAGGATAAGGAGAAGAAAATGCAAATAACAGCAAATTCAAAGTGGGTACTGACAAAAGAGAAAAATTCTGAGATGTTCTAAACTGAAATTACAGTGGGCTGGAGCGTGGAAGACCAAACAGCTAACAAGATTGCTCTCGTTCCTGAGTATATGTTGGACTGTGAATTCACTTCTAGGTGGCCATTGCTGAGATTATCTAAAGGAGAGAATAGCCAGGCACCACCAAACCCCAGGAGCCTCAGCTTCTTGTTTACACATTAACTTTCCAGATTGTTGGCCACCACGAATCTGGATGAGCAGACACTCTGTCTGACCAACTCTGCACCTATCCCAGAACTAGCCTGGCTTCATCTTTCCTCACAATTGATGCAAAATGCTCGCTGACTCCAGGAGGGCTAGTCTGCTATCTTTTCCAACTGGCACTGCTGCAGGAGGTTTAGACTTCACACCTCAGGACCTGGTCATTTTTCTTGGTAGCAATGACCCAAAAAAAAACCTTTCTTTTCAAAAGACTTTCAGCTGTGGAAGTTACAAATTTTGTTTAACAGTAGCTATTTTTAGAAAAGGGGTAGCCTAAAAGCATCTGTATGTTATAATACTGCTTATTATTGGTATCTATTTTACATAAAAGAACTTAAAATTTATATTAAAATGTTTACCTGAAATTCCTAGAAATTTATTGACATCAAACTCCTACTCAAAAATTTGTAATCATTTAATAATTATTTCCATAATTCCTTCTGATCTCCCAATCATATTCTTTCTTCATTGCTCCAATTATGGTCACAAATCACCTCATAACTGCCTAATTTAATGACTATTTCTTTCCAGAGATATCAACAGCATTTTAAACCATGAGCCATCCTCTCCTTAGAACTTTGTCCTTTAACTTTTTTTCAGGAAATCATTCTCTATTGGTTCTCATTCCTTCTAAAAAATGAATTTAGTTCACTAATCATCTATTGAACATCTAGTATGAATCAAGCACTGTGTTGGGTCTCTGCCCTTAGAACACTTTCAGTCTAGAGGGAGAGAAAGACAAGAAAACAAATCATCACCCCTCACTGTGAGAAGGGATGGATTAGGAGAACATACACAGAGTAGGAAAGCATCAGAAAGAGATCCAGATAATCTACGTCTCGGGGGAGAGTAGGAAATCTGAGCAAATGGTGTTCTGGAAAGAAAGACAGAAGAAGGATCGAAGAAGAAGGGAGTGGACAACTGTAACAGATATTGAGGGGAAGCCAAGTGATAAAGGCAGAGGGCAAGTTATTCTGCTGAGTGTGATGGAAGCCTCATGATGAAGATTTAGAATAGGAAATGCATGAGGGGGTTGACTGGAGGAAGCAAGGGAGGATTCCAGGTACCTGAAGGGTCCAGCTAAGGTTGGAGATCATGAATTAGTAATGATTTTACTTAGCAGCAGCAGGAGAGAAGGTAGGTTATAGAATTAATCTAAAGTTGGTGTTTTTCAAAATGGGTCTGATAGAAGGACAAGAGCCAAGAATGTTGCAGAAATTGGGTAAACAAATTAAAGCGAGGTTCCAGTACTCTCAACAGCTTTGAACATAATGAAGCATCTCCTCCTTTAAATATGTCCCTTCCACAATCTCTCTTTTCTGGTTCTTCTTTCTCAGGAATTTTTACTCATTCCTTCCATAGGTATTGTGTCCCACAATATACTAAGTACGGGAATGCAGAGATGAGTAGGAGGTGATTCCTACCTTACAAAGTCCGCAGTCAAACAGGGGACTCAGGCAGGTGCAAAGTTACCAAAGCACAATTTCATAAGTGCTCTAATGTAGGTAAGTACACAGTTTTATGGAAGAACCAGCTAGATTTTAAATTACTAGACTGTCACACCCTGCTCTGATACCTATAGTATGATAAGGACCTTCTAATAAACTCCTACACTTTACTGGCTACTATTTTTATGCAGCATAGTGAATGGACAATGTAGAATCTCTGAACATCTATTCCACTTCATCCCCATTATGGAGCAACTTCTGGTTTGGGTGGAGTTGGCCCTCCTTATAGTTCTAGAATGGAGCCCAATTGGGTTAAATAAATCTCATGATGAGTTCCAATAGCCCAGGTCTAAGGCAATCAGTATATAGTAACTTCCCCAACCCGGACTGGTTGGAGTGGTCCACTCAACACCAAGACTGGTACTCTTATCTGTTAATTGTGGGACTGAGCACAGTGTCTCTTCTGAAGAATATGAATGGAGGAAGCCGAGACTCTCTGGTTGCCACCAGCAGCCATCCTATAATCACGAAGGGACTCCTGCCTTCAAACGAGGCTGACACTGTGAACAGCAAATCCAGAGAAACTGGATCCAAAGCATCATCGAACCACTGGATCAAACTGCTCCAATCACTGTCCTACTTCTGGACTTTCCATTAATTGTCAATACATTTCTTCTTTCTAATCAGTTTCAGTGGGTTTTTGAATTGTAAGTGAAAGTATCCCAACACATATATGTAACTTTTGGGAGTCTCCTTTGTTATTGCGAATGCATGAATCATGAGATTTGTAGTCTATGGAACTTGCATGAGTCCAATTAAAACATAAGGTATAAAAGAAGAGTCTTATATAAAAAGATAGTTTTCATGTTAGTTCTTCAATATTTAAAAGAAGTCATTTTTTAAATGCAATATTACCTTCTCTATTCTGTAGGAAAGACAAGTCTGAGAGAATTTGTTCTTCACAGTGTCATATTCTGACTGTCCAGGTTGTAGCTGGATCATACAAAACAGCTGCTGATTCATGTCAGACCGGTATTCAGGAATATTATCTGGAAATTTAGCATTTGGTGAAACATGACATTCATCTCTGAAAACCTAGGCATTTTTAATGCTCTTTCTTCTCATTCTTCTAATCCTAGTCTTTGGGGTGGGAGGAAGCTACACACTCTACTATCCTAAATTTGATAAACACAGATGAAGTGAACAGTTCTGACACTAATATGACATAGGTAAATTAATGATTTAGCAAAAATATTTAGATAAACTTAGATTCACGATAGCTTGAAATGATAATTTTCCCAGAAATTTCTATGGAATTAATGCCACAAGAAGCTAATATATAAACATGAAAGCTAATTTATTGGTTTTTTCACTTTTATCAGTTCTATTTAGTGTGGTTCTTTATTATTTTTCTTTTGCAACATGATTATCCTGCTAAAGATATTTAAAACACATTGTTCTGTATCCCATCTTCCTTGCTAAGTAAACACCACCTAAAGAAAGTAACAGAAGTGCTTAGTGAATGCTTTCACATAAAGTGGTGATGCTCAAAGTTTCCATTTGCTTTCCAATAGCTTCCAGAAACTTTAAACACACTGAGCTACACAGACATCAGCGTCCTGAGTTGGTATGACTAGTAGAAATATGGACAGATTGCATTAGAGAACAAAATGCCACAGTTCCACAGATTAAAACCAAAGGATTTCTCCTTAAAAACAAAGCCACAATTTACCCATTTTTAGTGAAAGATATGCCAGGCCTGGGAGAGGGATCTAGGGCACTCCCATGCTGTTTTCCAAGTCCATTCAGGGAATTAAATCCTAGTGACAAAGTGAAGCATCTCACCCTAATCTGGGAGGTCTTTTCAAATTCCATTTTCAAAGAGTTTTTCTGGAAAAGTTTCCCCATGGTAGGGTGTGTAGTTTCTGCAAATTCAGTTCTTTTCTTTCCCCCTTCCAGATCTTTTGGCCTAATCATTTCTAGTCCTAAGAGCTAGAGTCCTCTTGGACCTGTTCTTTATTTTTCTGAATGCAGCAGGCAAGATGGAAAGAAAGGGGAGTGTTTCTTTGGGCACTCCCTTCCTTTCACGCCAAGAGCTTACAGAGTAGAAAACTACCAGCACTTGGAGTCAGAAGACCTGATAAGCCTCAACCTGTGACCAGCCATGTAAATCTTCATTTTCTCATCTGTAAACTGGAGATAATAAGATCTGTTCTCTCTACCACCCCATGACATTGTTACAAGTTTAAAATAAAGTCAGAGGCATTAAAGCACTTTAGGAGATGCCAAGTCCTTTATAAACAAACACATGGTTATTGTACTTAAAAAATGATCACTCGATCTTTTCTACAGCCCAGTGCTTCATAAAAAAACAACATCTGAACCACCTTTCTTTCAGAGTACTGGGCACTTTGTTGAGCTCTTTCC